AAGTCACTAATTAAGGAAGAGGTTTCCCCAGGTAACCAGGCAGGGAATGTTTATACGAGCTGTGATATATGTATTTTTCTCCCTAACCATAAGTGACTCACAAAAGCTATGCGGCCAAGACAACAATCAGGATTTACATAATAAAGAATTAGTAAGCCATTTATTACAAGCAGGGAGAAGCAATATAACAAGACCTAGAAAGACCTTTCTGGCACTACAATAGACAACTGGTACAAAACAGTTTGGGAAACAGCTCTTCTTGAGATATTAACAAATAAACTACAGTTGACATGTGGACAGATCAAGAAAGATGGCTTTACCCCGGTGTGGTTGAATTTAATAACATATGCCAGTATTCCAGAAAATGAATAATCCCTGCCATCCGTGTTTGGCTCAATCTGGTTGATCTAAATTTAAATTTAAACATAAATTATCTTCTCTTTGAAGCCTCCTCCCACGTTCATTAATATACCAGCATTTTATATTGTTTCATTGGAAACATAAGAGAAAAAATTGACTATTACTAGTACTTAATCTAAGCACAACCAAAATGGCTCCTGATTAGGCATTTTAGCTACCGTAAGTGATGTTGAATGTTATCTGTTAACTCTGTTCTATCCTATTTCCACTTTGTTATTGTTTTTATTTAAATTACTCCATGAACCAAGAACTTGTACAATGACCACTAATAATGAACCATATGTAGTAGCTATTGCTGCCAATTTATTAAACTATTTTTGTGATGTGTGGGGTATTAGAAGAAGACTCGTACTTCTGGTGGGGGAGCACACCGTGCTCCTTCTGGGGTAGTTTGTCCCCACCCTGCACTCAGCTACCACCTGTGGCTCCTAGAAGCTGTCAGTATGTGACAGCGGCCACATCCCAGTAAATGGATTCTACTGGCCAGCTAAACCAGGTGAGGGTAGCCCTCAATGTGTTAGGGGCTTCCCTAGCATGAGAAGACAAGCTCTGGCAGATTGAGTGGACAAGACCCATAGTGGGTCCAACATCAACAAGGCAGTTGCTGCACCTGCTGTAGAGGGAATGAGGGACAGATGGGGATGGTCAACCTGGGAAGGTAGACCATCAAGGAGAAGAAAAACTCTGATCCTAAATCTCTGCTACCTTGTGGACTATCTTCGGGAGAAGAAACAGCTAAGGGGTAAACCCTACACAAATCCAGAGTGAAATCCCTAAAATGGTGCCTTCTATGCCTCCTTCCAGCAGCTCCTGCAGCCAACCTGGTGCCAAAAGTCTTGCTCATCTTTTCTTTGAGGCTTTCAGTGTGGCTTGTCTTGTCATATGGGCAGCCCAATACTTCCATACACACTGCACAGGCTAGCGCCTTGAGGAGGACACTTTGGTGTGGCTAACACAATGTTCTGACTTCACCCCTGGAGGCACACACCATTGCCTCTCAAGACAGATGGATGCCAACAACAAATGGCATAGAAAACTTTGTCTATTTATTAGTATCATTTATTATTCCTACAATCCCTGTTTATAAAACCCAAGAATAAGTTATTTTTTAAAATAAAAAGCTACGTGAGGACAAAGGGACTAGTGATTTTATTTTATTAGCTAAGGACTACCAACGTTTTTATGTACACACAAGGTCCCAGACTGCCACACCTCCTACCAAGTGTTTCTGCAGCGACACTTTTGCAAAATATGTTAACCTTTGTCCTGCATTCTTACACATTAACAATTAACATAACCTCAAAATAGAGCTCAACATCACAGTTCAAAGGCTCTATTCTTGAAATACAGTCAAGTGATTTTTAGGATGTTAAACATTAAACAGCATGAATAATTCTGCAACACAGATTCTGTTTTCCTTTCCAAAAGTCATTCAAGTTGCACCTTAAACATTATAATGAGGGCTGGTAACACAGAGACTAACAGCACAATCTTAACTATGTCTACTCAAAACTAAGACCTTTTGAATTCAAAGGGGCTTCCTCCCAGATAAGACCAGTTAGGATTGCAGCCAAAATTAGATTTCAGGAAGTCCTCAAGTTGAATCTCACCTCTATCTACTATATACTTACTATGTGCTTTAAGGAGGATACTCTCAGCTTCAGTCCCTAGTACTGATTTATCTTAACAGATTATTGTAAGAATTTAAAATACTGTGATACGTATGAAGCACTGTGAACCCTCTAAAGCACTCTATAAATTACGTGCTTTATATGAGAATTGCATACCATCAAAAGAAAAGGAGGGGTTTTTAAGGTAGTTCCTGCAGCTTCAACCCTCAAAATAGCAGCAGCTTTTTTGCACTGATGTGCATTTTACACATAAAACTGCCTCAAGTTTTCCAAGAGAAAAACATTTTTCCCCCAAGAGAAAAAATATTTTAAATATTTTAAAGAAATATACCTGTTGAGGGTGATCCTAAGAGAGGCTGCTGTCCAGGAAAAGGCCCTAGTACCACTCACCTAACCTTAGAAAGTGGTGGTAGACTGAGAAGGGCCTCAAACTATGATCTGAGTGAACAAACAAGTTGGGAAAGGAGGAAAAGGTCCTTTCGATATCCTTGTCCCAAGGCCATCTAGTGATCTATATGTCAAACTAACATTCTGAATTGCACCTGGAGGCAAACAGGATGTCAGTGCAGATGTTTCAGCACAAGGGAAGTATATTCTCTTTTCCACAAGAAACAGGTCACTGTATAATCCTGTGGAGCACAATTCAGTCCCAATAAGCATCACATTCTTATAAAGACATAAAAAGAAGCTGAGATGACTGAGGGAAAGTTCATTTTCACCTCTCTTCTTCAATGCACACAAAGATTATTGTCAAAAGCTATCACTTGTAACAGCTAGAGCTAAACTTATAAGGATTCTGTTACGGGGATAATTGAGTAGCCCACCAATTATTATTTGCCTAACAGCAGATTAATAGCTGGTGTTTAGTAAACTAGGTTTTTCTTGGCAAAATAAGAGCTACCATTGCCAGGCTGCCGGTGCTTCAGTCTACAGTGAACACACGACTACATTCAGAACTCTAAACCAACAGTGGCCAACATTTTCAGTCTGAGGGCCACCTGCCCACAATGGTCATGACCAAAGTTTCTCCTGAACTTTCACCTATGTGCATCGCCACATACAACCCACACATACCACATATGCAGAAGCATGCACTCTCCACATATGCAGACCAGACATACACTCAGACATAGCATGCTCTCTCTCACACACTTACTCACCTGGGCACACACCACAAGCATCTCTCTCAGGGGTTTTCCTTCCCATTGCAACATAGAATCATATAACTGAACCTCTCCTCCCATACCAGCAACGCAATGCGAAGGGAGATGAAAGCTGGCTGGCAGCTTGAAAGGGTTCGGCAAGCTTCACCAGGCTAGCAGGCCACAGGTTTACCACATCTACCCTAAACTGTGACGACTATTAACTAAGGCTAGTTGAAACAAGCCAGCTTCAATACTTATGGCTTGAAATGGCTCATTACTACTACACATGGCAAACTGTGGTTAATTTAAAATAGAAGCGAAAGCTTTCATATCTCACATCATAGTTATGTCGGCGAGGGGGGGGGGGCGGAGCAAGAGAGGAGAAGGACTCGAGCCCAAGGCTCAATACAGTTAATTCTTGCTAACAAACCAGCCCAATGAAAGGTAGAGGAGGAATCTCTGTTAATCTACTAGCTAAAGCAACAATATGACCCTCTGCTTTATTCTTCTGAGCACACTAGCTGCTTAGCTATAATTATAAGGTTAGGTCATGCTCAGTTTCAGTAGATGCCATTCTGCACACTATACTAAAACACTGATTACAAAACAATCACATGGAAGTTTACATAAAGACAAGATCTTTACCTAACAGGCAACATTTTTAGTTTACACTGGACACATGAGTCAAATTCCACCTATTCTCAGTCCTATCTACCAATAATCAAGAGATCAACAAGGCTCTACTAAAATCATAACATGCCATTTCTTGGGTGGTGTGATGGGAAGCTGTATGCTTAACAAATAAATAAATCAGCATTAGAAGCAGTTACGAAGAAAGTGTAGCACAGGCTAAGTTCAATGTTGTGTAAATTTTGGGAAACTACACGTAGACCCAAAGCTGATGTGACCACATTAATTCACTTGAAGCCACAATTAGTGGTTTTTGTTGTGAAGGCTGAAGGTTGACTCCCATGCCTGGCAAGCAGGCAAAACTCATGCCTACTCACAAGGCAGCACAAAAATACAGTCTACAGTTTCATGCAGGAGAAAGAAGCCCTTCAAGTACGGATGGCCCTGAACCTGACAGCCAATGGTCAGGAGTGATGGGAGCTGGAGTCAAGGTTCCCTGGAGGACTACAGGTTCCTTAGCCATGCCTTAGAATGGCAATCAAGGTAGCCAGAACGGGCTCTGCTCCTGCTATATTAAACAAAAGTTAAACCACAAGAAGCAGCATATAATTAAAAAAGTGGTCAGAGATAAAATGATGCTGTTCTATTGCGGAAACTAAGTAGGTAGGCCCTGTAAGTTATCTCATTGAGTCATAATGTGAAAACCATAACTGCAGGCTGCTGTGAGGACTTATTATTATTATTGGAGAAAAATTGTAATACACAAAGTGCTTTTGTTTGTGATGGTGCTCATCGGTACAGAGTACTGTCACCTCTCTTTTTGTTGTTGCTGCCCATAGCAACCACAACACTTGGAAGATATGAGTACTTGCAGCTCATTGTTTACCAAAAATAGCACCAAGTAAGTACACACATATTGTAAGTGAACAAGCAAGCAAGACTACAGTGTTTTATTCAAGGCAATGACTACATGGATTAGATGCTACTTCTACAGTTCAACTCTATCAGTCCTTCTGTATAATACTGCAAAAAGGTATTCCGTATGTTCTAAATAGACCCCACCCTGTTTTGCACAGAGTCAAGTTACAGTTCTAGATTATAAGGGGGTCTCTCTGAAACAACGATTGTTCACCGACAAATGCAACATATTTTCTTTTCCAAGAGAGCAACTTACTTAATTGAGTTTCTAAAGTGGTCTTCAGCAGGGCTTTTAACAGTACAGCTGTTCAGGAGCCACAGATCAGCTTCTGCAGCATTGTCTGGAAGACAGAAATATATATTGAGCAATTAGAATTTTATCATGAGTTTTCTATAGGACTGGATTTAACCCTTTAACAAATGAGAACAGCTACCAGAAAAACATGAATACGACATTATTCATAATCAGCATTAACATATTTTTAAAAATTAGATTCCGGTGCAGGGAGGAGGTTTCATATACAACTATTTATGGCTCATGAGATGGACAACCTGATCAATCAATACCATACAGAGCAGGGATGAGGAACCTTACAGCAATGTTCTTTCACAGACAACCTACTGGGTGCCAGGTGTCAGTGGTAGACAGGACAACAGATGTCACTGTGATTTTTGTATAGCAGGCTAATATTCTGGTCACACAGATGTCAGAGGTTTCTACATACCCACTTCCACACCCACACCCCTCTATCCATCTAAGCAAGCAAGAGCCATTATCACAGTTCACATTCCAGTCAGCAAAAGAATGGAGAGAAAGCCCTGAGAGTTGGTTAGGAGAAGCCTGGATTCAGCCCTTGGCTCTAAGATCCCTCATATCTAGTATACAGCATTTCATTATCACATATCACACCTGTGTTTTCACCCATTTCTATATACCAGATATCCCGTTCTTCTCATGTGCCAAATTCTGATTCTTCCTGAAGTGCGTTCTCAGTGTCTAAATACAATTACCTTCTCTCTCACACACTATTTCTACACACACATTGCAACACAAGGTTTAACTTCTGACAGTGCAATACCATAGCACAGAGAAGTATGGGTGAATATCCCAACCAGCCAATTAGCACCCACACACATGGCTGAAATGTTCAAACTCGCCCATTTGTTCTCTACTAGAATAACAAATATTTTAAAGGTGTCCCTCATTCTAACTGTTGTTTTTAAAAGCACCACAGCTGTTGTTTTAACAAAGGTCAAGGAGACACAAGTGTGGCCATGTCAAAAACTCTAATAAAATGCAAGAATTTAGCTGTAGCTTCTTTTGTATATATTAGGAAAGTGATAGTTTAATACTGAGCGTAGGTTCCTATTAAGAGCAGAACTGAAGAGCTGGCAGTAGCATGGCAGGTGTTTGAATACTAATGTACTAGGAGCAATCATTGGGTCAGTCACATCAAGTGAAGCTCCCCATGGATCAGTAGTGGGACCTTTGCTTTTAACCCGTTTATAAAGGACCTGGGGATTGGGGGTAAACAGTGAGTGGGCAATGTTTGTCGATGCCACAAAATTAGTCAAGGTGACTAAAAATGGTTGTAAAGGGTCCAAAAGGATCTCTTTTAAAAGTGCCAAGTTATTGCTGTTTAAGAAAATGAACGAAAATGAAACTGCCAATATTATAATATTGTTATACAAATCTATAGTGCAACCACATTAGGATTCCTGCTGCTTAACCTCAAAAAGGACAGAGTAGAGCTCAAAAGGGTTTTAAAAAGATGAAACCAAAATGATCAAGAGGCTGGAACTATTCCAGTATGAAGTAAGGTTGCAACATTTGAAGATTTTTAGTTGGGGGGAAGATGAGAAAGCGGGGACTAGATAGAGGTATATAAATTAATGCATGATGTGAGAAAAGTGGATTGAGATCAGGAGAAAAACTTACTTCTGGGGCCATCCAATGAATCTAAATGTTGGAAGATTCAGACAGCCAAAAGAAAGTACTCCTTCACACAGCAGTTAAAATTATGGTATTTGTTCCCCCAAGATATAATAATAATAATAATAATAATAATAATAATAATAATATTCCTGACCACTCTGGGAAGCTTCCAACACCTACAAAAACATAATAAAACATCAACCATTAAAAACTTCCTATTATAGGACAGCCTTCAGATGTCGTCTAAAAAGTTGTGTAGTTCTTTATCTCCTTGACATTTGATGGGAGGGTGTTCCAAAGGGTGGGCACCACTGTCGAGAAGGTCCTTTGCTTGGCTCCCTGTAACTTCACTTCTCGCATATAGCAATAGCCACCAACTTGGATGGCTTTAAAGGGGCATTAGATAAATTCATGGAGGATAAAGGTATGAAGAACTACTAGTTAGGATGGCTGTTTATTGCCTCTAGTGTCTGTGGAGATTTGCCTCTGAATACCAGCTACAGGAAATCACAAGTGGGGAGGTTGAGCTCGTATCCTGCTTGCTGGCTTGCCATAGGCATCTTGTTGGCCACTATGAAAGCAGAATGCTACACCAGATAGGGTCCTTGGCCTGAATCAACAGGGCTTTCTTCCATGTTCTTCCATCCTGCCTCACCCCGTATAATAATAATAATAATAATAATAATAATAATAATGCATATAGTGAGCAGTGTATACTATACACTGAATGCATGGTGGGACAGCTGGATTGTGGGCAGTGGGGAGTTAACAAACCCTACTGGTTTCTATCAGTTGAAAGAACTGGGTAAAAGATACAAACATCTTTTATTTTTGTATGGATGGCAATGTAATTAAAAGGACATTTGCCCATTTACAGGAGCAAGATGGCCAGGTTGTGTGGTTAGTTTTATCTGAACTTTAATCCTACACCATGCATATTTTTGGAATTCAACACCGGGGAGAAACTGAAAGCTGGTAAATGTTGTGTGTGGTTGTATATATTTGTGTATACATTTGTGGGAGTGCTAAAACATAATACATTTGTGCGCAATGATCCTGCACTGGAACTATTTTAATGTCAGCTCTTTTTGGATCAACTCACATATGTTGTTTTTAAGGATTAAGATGAACTGTTTAGCTGTTCAAAATTTCCCTTATGCTCCAGTCCTAAAAATATTTGCTACCACAAACAGCATTTCTGTAAACCATATTGGATACAAGGAATCCAACAATAATACTAAATTAACACTGTTCAGCTTACAAACAACTCAAAACAATGACTTTTAGCTTCAGTTTGCCTTCTCCAAGAAACAAATACTGCACAAACCACAACATCTATCATGCATTTGTAAAACACCAACACCAAAGAAATTCAAAAGGTCATGGAAACTTCTGAACAATTTCAAAATACTAGGAGACTCTGAAAAGCACAAATACTCACCATTATGCAATTAAAACACAAGGAAATTTGGTAAAACACTGAGTAAGCAATAGAAATATCCACAAAAAGGATCAAAATATTTACACTTTGGTTTTCTAGCTAGCCCTTTCTGTTTATATCAATGTTCTTTTAAGAATATAGATACAGGCCTCCACCCTGAAGCAGCATTGTCTTAGCATCAGGGGCAAAGTGGGGATGTGTAAAGAGAAGTTGAACTTTTCTGACCTCGTTCAGGCAAAACAGACAGTAGAAATGAGTATGAAATGACTGAAATTTAACTTATGACAAGTATCTAGTGAAAACAGAGCCCACTGTAACCCTGTTTTCAATGAATTAAGACAATATGCAAAATGCTTAGATAATGCTAATACCTCTCCTTAATGTGCCATGGCTGTCTATTTTTAAGAAGTTTCTTTGCCAGTTTTGTTTCAATTATTAAGTTTGTTCATTTGTTATAGTGGGTCTGTGTATGTTTGTTTGCTGACAGGGGGAAGTATAATAATGCAACAGCATGCTTTATTCAACAGGTAACTACTTCTGCTTTTGTATTCACATATTCTTGAAAACCTAATAAAAGTTACTTTTAAAGTAAGTGTCTTTGCTATAGGACACCTGATCCTTGGCAGCTGAACTGATTCAGGCATCATTTCCAGTTTTTAATCTCTTCTAGGTCATGGATGATCAGCTTCTCAGCTTCCAGAAAGGACTAGAAGCCTATTTTACCACCCAAACTGGCCTCCTCAAAATGGGTCATGCATTATAATAGAGGTATCACTATCCTGCAGTGAGATCTGCACAGATACAGAGAATTACACCCATGAATCAAAAGGAGTATGGGAAAACTCAGATCACACCAAATGTATTATTATTATTATTATTATTAAGAGATTTTCGTGTGATTTGGCAAGCATAAACAGCTTACAACCTATTTCATGTTGTGCTACAAAAAAAGAGCTCCTACTTTTTAAAACTTCAGATTTCATCTGACATGGCTCCTTTCTACTCCCATACAAGCTGACTTGTAGTTTTTAAAGTCTCCCACTGATTTCCATACATACGTTTTCACAAGAGCCAAGGTCAGCTTATAAACTAAAACATATTCTGTTCTAATACCTATTTCCCAGCCTATATTTCTGTAACTTTTGTCTGTATTATGTTGCACCCAGAGGCAATATATTGATTTCAAATGCCTTGCTTCCACTTATTTCCCCTGACATCTAATCCCACATGGAGTCTGGATTTAAGCTACATCTATCACTTTTAACAGAGAGGGCTAAAATATAGAAAACTTATCTGAGCCAGATATGTCCAAACACTTATTAAATTGTAGCTTCCAGCTAGTTATTGACTTTCACAGAATTACCTTCATACTTTATCCATTTGTTACTGTATCTGTCTTCTGAAAACTCAGAGATACCAGCGCTGAAGGTTTCATACCCAGAAGTCACATTAAAGCCTTGCAGTGCTTAGCAGTTATCTCCCAGCCTAAGATATTAAGTGAATAGAATTGCTTGAGAAAGTTTCAAAATGAGTGCATCAGAAATTAAAGCTAAGAGTACTCTTAATGGATGTCTTGTGGGTACAAAGCCTTCTAATAACAGACACCAATAAGCTTTTATTAAAGCTGTGAGCTGGTCCTCTCCACTCCCCCTTGAGTGGTTTCATCTCTATCAGTCACTAAAGTTGGGTATGGAATAGCAACTATCAAAATAAATTGGGGAGCTGTGGGAATCATGCTCAGAAAAAGGATGGCTGAATTATATAGAAGTGTGATGCATCATGTTTTAAGACATGGAAATAGTCAGCTGCACCATGCAGGCCTTTGACTCTATGGTTTTCCCTCTCTTGCTTCCAGTGTCTTCTACTAAGGAGGCATGAGGTAAGAAACTGGAATCCCCTCACTTCTATTGCATTTTCATTGACCTTGGAAACCTGATGCAAGTTTACTTCCTTGAAAATATACA